CTCCCTCCCTCCCTCCCTCCCTCTCCCTCTCCTTTTCTTTTTCTTTCTTTCTTTTCTTTTCTTTATTTTGGTCAGTCAAGGGCCTGAACTCTGGGCCGGGGCACTGTCTTCAGCTCAAGGTGAGTGCTCTACCACTTGAGCCACAGTGCCACTTCCGGTTTTGTGAGTGGTTAATTGGAGCCACAAGTTCCTGGCTTGATTTCTTTTCTTTCTTTTTCCCTTTTTCTTTTAAAGCTGATGCTGGTGGCTCACGCCTGTAAAGCTAGCTACTCAGGAGGCTAAGATCTGAAGATCATGGTTCAAAGCCAGGAGGAAAGCCCGTGAGACTCTTATCTCCAAGTAACCACCAGAAAACCAGAAGTGGAGCTGTGGCTTAAGTGGTAGAGTGCTTGCCTTGAGCTGAAGAGCTGAGGGACAGCGCCCAGGCCCAGAGTTCAAGCTCCATTACCAACAACAACAACAACAAAAGGGGGGGTGCGTAGAGTTTGGGCTGGGAATGTGGCTCAGTGGTAGAGTTCTTGCCTAGCATGCATGAGGCCCTGGGTTTGATTCCTCAGCACCACATAAGTAAAAAATGCTGAAGTGGCGTTGTGGCTGAAGTGGTAGAGTGCTAGCCTTGAGCTGAAGAGCTGTGGGACAGCACCCAGGCTTTGAGTTTAGTCCCCAAGACTGACCAAAAAAAAGAAAGAAAGAAAGCTTATACCTTAACTCTGAGACTTTGCAGTGAAGCCCTGCATGTTCCTTTGCTTTGTTACTGAGAAAATCATTGGTGCTTCCTGGTATATGCTAATCTTTCAGTAAGTGTTTGTTGAGTGAATGAAAGAAATATGCCTTGGAAAAAAGGAGTTCTTAAGCGGTTTTGAGTGTTTTTTTTTTTTAATTTTTGTTTTTAAAGAAAGACCGCCTTGCTTCCATCTCTACTGGTAATATGATACTTGTTCTAATAACACTGTATAATCATTATTATTTTACAGATTTATGTTAGCATAAACTGTGTTCCTTTTTACTCCCTTATTACTCCCTTATAGATCACTTTAAGGTACTCATTAAACTATGCTGTATCCTTCTGTATTCTCTTAACTGAGTTTGTTCTAGTTCCAGATCTTGGTAACTTAAATCATCATGAGCTCTTTCTGCCACTACACTTCCTTAACTCCAACATAACTTATGTCTTGAAAAGTTAATTGTTCCAAGAGATGCAATGTCCTAACTATTCCCTTCTGAATAAAATCTACCTTTTCCTTCTTTCTGTGATCTGGGCTAAATTGAACAATTGCTGCTCTTAAGTGAGGACACCTAGAATTGTACTACTCATTCCTTAGTGTTATTTAAGGCGTTGCTTAATCTTGCCTCCCTGTGAGATGTTCAACTTTCTCCCTACTCTCTTAGCAAGAGAGAAAGTACATTTAAATCTGTAAAACAATTCGACTGGTCTGAATATTCTTCTTTGATGTGTGATTTCTGATCCTTTATACGCAGTATGTCTCTGTTTATATCACACATGACTTTGTAATGGAGCTCCCATAGAATACTATTCCAATAGATAAAACATTTATATCACTGTATAGTATTTTTCTTCATATGGTGAAAATTTCATACGTGTTTGTAAAATGCTTGCTGTTTTTTCTTGATGTAAGAAAATGCTGGATTATTTCATTAATTTAAAAATCAACTGGAAAATAAATATCATTTTTCCTTTTGTTTTAGAAGTTCTCATCATTATATAGAAGATAATAAAGAGTCTTATTTTGCTACCTTTATTGATGGAATCGTTTTTCTTTTGTCTCTGAAAATACATGAGTCAGGTTGGCTCAACAGAACGTTTATTTTAAACTGGTGTGTGTGTGTGTGTGTGTGTGTGTTCGTTCATGTTTTTTACAAGTGCATTTCTGAGGATATACTCTTACTGCTGCCCTTAGTGAAGGTGATCTATTTTCTGTGGTATATTTGCAGAAGCCATAGTTGGCCCATATTGAAAGAACGGGAGTTCATACTGTTTAGGCCTAGTGTTAAAATGTTTTTTTTTTTTTGTGTGTGTGTGGGGGTCCTTTGTGGGGCTTAAACTCTGGGCCTGGGCGCTGTCCCTCAGCTCTTCAGCTCAACCTAGTGCTCTACCACTTGAACCACAGTGCCACTTCCAGTTTTCGGGTGGTTTATTAGAGATAAGAGTCTCATGGATCGTGCCCAGGCTGGCTTTGAACCATGATCCTCAGATCTCAGCCTCCTGAGTAGCTAGGATGACAGGCGTGAGCCACCAGTGCCAAGCTTAAAATGCTTTTCAACAGAACTTCTCTTTACGTCTTTTCACATGTGTACACATATCAACATTTGAAGAAGTTTGCATGCCTGCCATTCATGCCAGGCGTTTCTTCTTTCACAATGAAGCATTTATTCATCGTAATGCCCTTTAAGTGCTTAGAATTATTCTAGGCTCTTGGGATATGTATGGATAGATAAACCGTGGTTTACATTATAGCATAAAGAGACAAAATAACTGGACACATAAATAATCATAACAGAAAAAGCATTGATTTCATCAAAATTTAAAACTTGTTTATCAACAATACCATTAATAAAATAAAAAGAGAAAAGATATTTGTAAAACATATATCTGACAGAGGGTATATATCCAGAATCCATAAACAATTCTTGCAATTCAATAAGAAGATTAAACAACTGAATTTAGAAGTGGGCAGACAGCTCACTAACAAGGCACACACACTATTCAACACTGTCATTGGTCATCAGGAAAACAGAATTAAACTATATTCATCCAGCAGTACTGTTGCTGGGTACTTACATAAAAGAAATTAAAATATATGTTTGAAGAGACATGCATAAGAATATTCATAACTTTTTGTTACAGCAACGAAAGGAAACGGCTCAGCTTTCCATGAGTGATTATCGTGTAACACAATTAGAAGTGAAATGGGACACACTACTGATCCATGTATCAGAACATAATGCTGAGCAAAGTGAAGCCAGACCCTCACCTACATAAAGCTTGCTGCATGATTTCAATCATGAATTTCTAGATCTGTTGTGGAAGAATTCTGAACTGCAGTTACTGTGGTTGGCGATTGAGGAATGCATGTTATTGAGGGCTGGCTCCGGAGGCCAGATGACATGGCTCTGGGGTTGGTGGGAAGGAAGGTGGCCGCTGCAGATCTCTGCGATTCTTCCGTATCCCCTCCTTAATGTGCCCTTCAGTTCAGACCCTCCTTCTGTTGTGTGGCCTAGGTATCTCCTCCAGGCAGTCAGCTTGATACTGGAAATTCGGTTCATTGGACTTAGTGCCAAGTCACAAATAATGAGAGCCGCATATAGAGAGAAAAAGAAGTACAGATTGATTAATTTTACCAGGCAGAAATGAGAACTGTGTGAGCTATCTGAAGGCTATAGCTCCATTCCCAAGGGGTGAGTGCGTTTTTAAAAGCAAATCCCAGGTGTATGGGCTTTGGATGAGCATGCCCAGCTATGAAAGTAATTTTGAAAACACTTTTTATCACTTCACAAAGAAATCCTGGGGAAGGGTGGAGAGAAGCCAGTTGTCAGTGCCTCATTCTGTAATCTTAGCCACACAGGAGGCTGAAATCTGATGACCAGGGTTGAAAGCCACTTCCAGCAAGAAACTCTGTGGAACTCTTATCTCCAATTAACTACCAAAAAGGTGAAAGTGGAGCTATGGCTCAAGTGGTAGATCACTGGCTTTGAGCAAACAAAGCCCAAAGACATAGCCAGGCCCTGAGTTCACGCTCTAGGGCTACCCAAAAGATATCTATATATATCTATATATATATATAGATATAGAAAGAAACCCTCTGCCCCTCGCCCCTTAGCTACTACCACCTAAGGAACCACTGATTTTTCTGTCACTATAGATGTCTGTCTATTCTAGACATCTCACATGAAATGCTTTTATAATATGTGCTCTTTTACTTAGCAAAGAGTTTTAAAGGACTGTCCATGACATGACATATTGTGAGTACTGTTCTTTTTATGGCTGAATAATATTCCATTATATGGAGATAGCACATTGTATGTCATAATTCATCTGGAACAGACATTTGGGTTGTTTCCACCATTTGGCTATTGTGAATGAGACTACTATAAACATTTTTGTGTCAGTTGTGTGGGGATATATTCCTCAAAGTGCTGGGTCCTGTGGTAGCTATATGGTAGCTAACTTGGATCCACTAGTGCCCGTCCCAGCGGCAGTGTGTGAGGGTTTTGTTTCTCTACATGCTCAGCATTTGTGATTTGTTTTTTTCCCTTTTAATTTGCATTTGTATTACATTAGTTTTGTTTTCATTTGTTGTATAGAGTGGGCATTCACAGAAATGTAATTTGAAAGAACTTTTTACTCCTTGAAACAAAAATGTGGTCAGCTGAAGTCTACTAGTGCAGAGACTTGAAACATGATTTTTTTTTTAAAGATGTTTTGCCTTTTCTCTAAAATATAGTTTTGCTTCTGGAGTCAACAATGATATAGTGTGGTGTTGACACAAATTGTACACTTTTCAAAAAGAACTTTATGTGTATGAGCATATTCTTTCAGATATAAAGAAGATTTTGCTAATTTTATGATACAGTTTTCAACTAGTTTTAGACAAATTCTGGTCTTATGTCGAAAGACTTAATGTCATACTATTTATTTTACAGGTATGAGAGCTAAGTAAGCCATTTTTGACACAAGAAACGTTACCAGAACTTTACCAATGATGGATTCTGAGGTTAAACCTGAGAATGATGAGGATGCGAATCGAAAGAAGGTGGCAGGGGAGTTGCGAAGCCTTTTGTCCTGTGGAGGCAGTTGTGGGCCTGGAGCTGAGGTGACAACCATCTCCTCTGAGAATATCACAAGCAAAAGAGGTTTTCCCGACTCATCTGACTTTGGCGGTGTCGTGCAGGAAGGCAGAAACGAACATGCTTCTAAACGGATGAGGGTGGAGGAGACACAGTGCCTGAAGTCTGGCCGGCAGGACACCGACGGACTCAGCACTCCTGTGAGCTCCACCACAGAAGCAGACATCCCATCAGATGAGATGGGAAAGGCGCCCTTCCTGAAGGACTGGCCAGAGGGGGGCACTGCTCTTCCACCTGCCTCTATCTCCTCTCCTGATCTTAGCACCATTAATGCCCCGTCTCTGAAAAGGGACACGGAAAGAAGGCCTGCTCAGGAAGTGGTTTCCCTTGACTCACAAAGAGAGTCCTCTTTCCCTCCAAAGGACATGAGTGTCAGCTGTACCTTTAGAAACATAGACGCAGTCCTCAAGTGCAGTGAATGTGGCCATTTGTTTCCATCTTGCTCTGATTTGGAGAAGCATGCCGAGTGCCCGAAGCAGCAGGCTAAGGAGCATGCCTGCTGCCGCTGTGGCCACAAAGCAGAGAGCAGTCCAGCGTGCCAGGCACACCTGAGCACGCATGTAGTCCACAACGTCTTCTCATGTGACCTTTGCGGCTTTCAATGTGGTGAAGAAAACTTGTTGAATGCACACTATCTCAGCAAAACACATCTTCGGCGCCAGAATCTTGCTGCTCGTGGAGGCTTTGTACAGATCTTAACAAAGCAGCCTTTTCCTAAGAGAACTTGTGCCGTGGTAACAAAGAATGCTCGAGCAAGACCAAGGGCTTCTAAACCAGAAGCAAAGAATGTGGATTCAAAAGGATTACAAAATAGTGGGAGCACATTTACAGATTGTGGAGTGAACATTTCTCAACAAGGTGGTGGTGACAGTGAGCTCCTTGTTGAAATGGAGCCATCCAGAAATACGTCATTAGAAAAAGCAGAGGTTGTTGAAAATGTTCTATCCCTCACTATAGCTCAAAATCCTGAAAATGAGAGCAAACAGGTAGGAGTAACTCCAGAGGGTCCCTTGGGCAAATCAGAATCTACCCCAAATACCCTGCGGGCAGCACATGGCATCAGTACCACCTCAAGGCTAAGACCTGAGCGCAGTGTTGTCATGTTGGGTAATGGATTTCGCCGAAGAAGTGGCACTTTTGCCTTGAAGGGCCAGGCAAAGAAAAGGTTTAATCTCTTAGGAATTAATAAAAGAGGCGCGAGTGAAACACAGAGAACGTACATGAAACACTTTAGAACACAGATCAAAACAAGTGACACAGAACCAGGGCTGAAGCCTGCAGAAATGAGCACCAGGGTCCGGAGTCTGTGTGTGACTTCCTCAGCACCCCTGGACACAACACAGGACGAGGCAAGTTCCTGTCCTCTGGGTTCCGTGCCTCTAGACTCCCCAACAGAGAAGCCAGCTTCTGACCACCAGAAGTCATGTACTTGTACTATTTGTGGCCAGATCGCCATAAATATGAGCGATTTGGAAAGCCATGTGAACAGATGCCATGCAGAAGAGGTGAAAAACTATCGCCAAGCTTGTGACTTATCCAATACGTCACGGGGGGACCCAGAAGAGCATGCGCACAAAACTCAGCACCAGCAAACTGCTTCTGTCCTCACTTGTCAGTGTTGTTCCTTTCTTTCCTCGAGCAAAAGAAACCTTAAAGACCACATGAAGGAAAAACATGATATGGATTTTCTTTGCACTGCTTGTAATCTGTTCTTGTCTGAGAAAGATGTGGAAGAACACAAGGCAGCCACAAAGCATGTCAGTTTATTGGTTCAAGCGAAGACTTCTCCATCCTTGGCCAATGACTGTGCTTTACAGACCTTACCTTTGCGTAGTTTAGAATCAGAAAACACAAAAGAGTCTCCGAATGAATCAGGGAGAACAGCTCAGGAAGAGCCTATGAAATCCAGGGTAAGCCCTGGAAGTGAACTGAGGCATTCAAGTAAGCCTCAGTTTCAGTGTAAGAAGTGTTTTTATAAAACAAGATCTTCTACTGTTCTCACAAGACATATAAAGCTTCGGCACGGCCAAGACTATCACTTCCTTTGTAAAGCCTGCAATCTTTATTCATTGAGCAAAGAAGGAATGGAGAAACATATTAAAAGAAGTAAACATCTTGAAAATGCTAAGAAAAATAATATTGGCTTAAGTTTTGAAGAGTGTATTGAAAGGGTATGTATAGGCGCAAATGAGAAAAAAGAAGATTTTAATATTTCTGGAAATGGAAAGACTGAAGGCCACGTAGGTGTGCAGTTACAGGAGCAATCCTGCCTTGAGAAGAGCACACTAATGCCGAAGGAGGCATCTCAGCCTGGTGTCTTCACCAGAGATGATGCATTAGCTTTGCCCACTACTCCAAAGAGAGGAAGACCCAAAGGCAGCACATCACGAACATGTTCACACTGTGGACTTTTGGCCTCTAGTATTACAAATTTGACTGTTCACATTAGACGTAAACACAGTCACCAATACAGTTATTTATGCAAAGTTTGTAAATATTATACTGTAACTAAGGGAGACATGGAGCGGCACTGTGCTACCAAGAAACATAAAGGACGGGTAGAAATAGAAGCAAATGGGAAACAAAGTTCAGATATAATTGTTGTCCCTGAAGGTGGTCATATTGAGGCCTGTGTAAAGAATACTCACTCAGCTGTGACTATGTCTGATGAACCATCTAACAAGTCACCTGAGTCTGATACCTTTGTTTTAGAAAAGCCTGTGGTAGGTCACGGAAATCCAACTGAAGTAGAAGTTGAAAATGTACTTCAGGCTCTAGATGGAGAAGTTCAAAGTGCTGTCACTGGTAAAAAGGAACAGGTATCTCTACAGCCAGAGATTGTTCTTCAGCAGGGGGATATATGTGCCCAGAGAGATGCTACAGGTACAAGTGATAACAAATGTCTACATTGTGAGTTCAGTGCACACTCGCCTGCATCTCTTGAGCTGCATGTGAAACGGAAACATACGAAGGAGTTTGAGTTTTATTGCATGGCCTGTGATTACTATGCTGTGACTCGCCGAGAGATGACTAGGCATGCAGCAACAGAGAAGCATAAAATGAAAAGGCAGTCCTACCTCAACTCTTCTAATGGAGAAGAAGCAGGTTCTGCAGAAATGTCTAAAAACACTATTATACCTGGAGAGGAGCATCCACAAAATCCCAAGGACTTTGAAATAATTCCTGACCAACCACCTGATACTCTCAAACCCAGAAATGCTTCAGACTGTTCTATTTTGGATGAAAATACTAATTTAGATATTTCTAAAGTTCTGTGTGCTCCTGATGCTGTAGAAATTGAGGAAGAATCTAATTTCAGTGAAGCCCATTCTTTTAGTGAGACGTTCCAACAGCCCCCTGCCAAGGATCAAGTTATGAAACCTGAGGAAATGGTGTCTGTTAATATTTCCTCTAGTTATGGCTCCTCAAACAGACTTCAGAATGAAAATCCAGGTAGCTGTGCTCTGAATTGTGAGACAGCAAAGCTAAACCGTGGTATTTTGGAGAGCATTGACAAGCCACATACTTACTGTGAGAACAGTGGAGGTAATGTAGGAGATGGTGGAGCAAAATGTGACAGAAACGCGTGTCCTGGAGCCCTGTGTGGAAAGCATCCATCTGAAAGTACTTCCCCTTTGGTGGTGGGGATAAACAGAGAGAAGCCAGACCTGAATAGTGGTGGTCAGAACAAAGTTGGATGTGCACAGAATTCAGAGGCTTTGAAAGATCTCCAAGAGAATCCCATTCTGCCAAATAAGGAAATTCTGATGAATTCACAACAAGAAACTGAAATTATTTTGGAAGAGGATGGCCCAGCATCTGAAAGCACAGTTGTGAGTAGTGATGTTTATGAAACTATAATCAGTATTGATGATAAAGGCCAGGCCATGTATAGTTTTGGCCGATTTGACTCCTCCATAATTAGAATAAAGAACCCAGAAGACGCTGAACTGATAGACCAGTCAGAAGAGTGTCTGGTGGGGACAGGAGTGAGGGTTACTGAGTTGTCCTTGAAAGACTGTGCTCCAGGCTTGAAAAAGAAGAAAGTTGAAGGCAGTTCCTACGGCGAGTCCCCACGCATCCGTTGCGATGATTGTGGCTTCCTAGCAGATGGACTGAGTGGACTGAACGTTCATATAGCCATGAAGCATCCCACAAAAGAGAAACACTTTCACTGTTTACTGTGTGGAAAATCATTTTATACAGAAAGCAACCTCCATCAGCATTTGGCTAGTGCTGGTCATATGAGAAATGAGCAGGCCAGTGTAGAAGAGCTTCCAGAGGGAGGGGCCACCTTTAAATGTGTCAAGTGCACAGAGCCCTTTGATTCTGAACAGAATTTATTTCTACATATTAAAGGACAGCATGAGGAATTGCTTCGAGAGGTGAATAAATATATAGTGGAAGACACTGAGCAAATCAACCGCGAGAGAGAGGAGAACCAGGGCAGTGTTTGCAAGTACTGTGGGAAGATGTGCCGGAGCAGCAATTCCATGGCCTTTTTGGCGCACATTCGCACGCATACAGGTAGGTAAACCCTGCACCAGCTCACATTTGCCTTTAGAATGCCAAGAAATGAGAAGGTTCAGACATTTATTCCCATCCAAATATGGAACTCTACCTCATTAACATTTCACTGCTGTGTGGTACTCTGGACATCTGTAATAAGGCACTGTCGACACTTCACATAGCAATTCCAGGGGCAGGCTAGTGGACAAGTTTCTTTTATTTTTGTCAAAAAGCTTGGACCTTGGATAGAGGTCTTAGTTGAAGTCTGGTCTTTTATACCTTTCCAATTGTTCTGTATCCTTATTACTTAGTTTTCTGAAGTCTGCGTATTTGTGTGAGCATATATGTAACACACATATGTATGTGCATATATATGTATATAACATGTATGCACATATTATATAATATATACATATATAATATGTATACGTATATATGTACATATATTTAAAATGATATTTTGTATTTTAGAGGACAGACTAAGTGACTAGGTTTTTTGTAAATATTTTTCTCACAAATTTAAGGTCTTAAGAATATTCATTACTGGCTGGGTGCTGGTGGCTCAGGCATGTAATCCTAGCTAGTCAGGAGGCTGAGATGTGAGGACTGTGGTTCAAAGCCAGCCCAGGCAGGAAAGTCCGTGAGACTCTTATCTCCAATAAACCACCAGAAAACTGGAAATGGTGCTGTGGCTCAAGTAGTAGAGTGCTTGCCTTGAGCTGAAGAGCTGAGGGACAGCGCCCAGGCCCACACTTCAAGCCCCACGACTGACCAAAAAAAAAAAAAAAAAAAAGTAATCAGCCGGTCACTCCTGGCTCATGCCTGTAATCCTAGCTACTCAGGAGGCTGAGATCTGAGAATCACTGTTCCTGGCCAGAAAATTCTGTGAGACTGTTATGTGCAATAAACCACTCAGAAAAAGCTGGAAGTGGCGCTGTGGCTCAAGTGGTAGAACACTAGCTTTGAGCATAAAGAGGCTCAGGGACAGCTCCCAGGCCCTGAATTCAAGCCCCAGGATTGCCTCCCTCCCCTCCCAAAAAATTGATGACCCACTTTTTATATCTAAAAGTCTTAACCACAAGCAGCAATATTCTACTTCCAAGGAGACAACTTGTTCATCTGTTCTGTATACTTGAATAGGTTTTCATGGAGCTAGTACTTCATTTAATTTCCTGACTCTGTCACATTTAGTGATCTATGTTAATGTTTAATTTTGGGAGAAGTTTTTTTAAAAAAATTTTTTTGGTGAGAATTGCATAAGCTACTGTTCTAAATTTATGTAAAAATTCACTGCAATGTTTCTATAAACCTGCCATACATTCTTTATTTTAAATAGACAGCTTTTCTAAATCATTGTGCTCTGCTTAGACAAGTTCTGTCTCCGTGGTTGAATTTATGAGTGGATTTGAATAATAAATTCACATTTCAATGAACATATTTTCATTAAAACTGTAAGGTTTATTTTACTGTACTTTTAAATAATGGTTTATTATTAAAGCTATACTTTAAATTCATGCAGTTTTTGAAACTTAGTGCATGGTTACCAGGAGAAAGACAAAAAATATATAGTTATCAGGTAAGGTGATTAAAGCTAGATAAAAGTTTTCTATCTGAGAAAGTAACAGGGCAACCTGCAGATGATGAATCTAGGCAAAGGTATACCTTATACTCCTAATGCCATACAGCTGTTTTTTGCAGTAAGTTTAAATGTGTGCTTGTTTGTAGTACCTCTGTCAGCATCTTGCAGCTCACTTTTCTGTATGACATAGTTGTAGGCAGCAGGTTTGTTCAAATGCACTGGAAATATGTATTTTCTTTACATGCCCTCTTAAAGCAGATAAAACCGAATAAAATGAAGAGCAAGATGCTAATGGAATTCTTTTTAGAATTCTTTATGCAACTGTCTGGTCAAGACATGTTGCTTTTAATTGATGTGTCCATTACTTGAATTCTCTTGTAATTATAGTCAATAAGTCTTGTAAATGTGTTAAAGCTCACTAAAAGCATACAAATTCAAGAACAGAGTAAGGCTAATAATTTAAAATAATCAATGTGGGCATTTCAGCACTTAATTTCCCTTGTGTGTTGATAGCTGATCATTCTTAATCCATTAAGATTTATTTAGTCGTTTACAATGCAAAATAGGCTTGCACTGGTCACTTGTGCCATTTGAAAATGTCCACCAGGTTAAGTGCAGAATGTAGTCCATTAGTCTTCCTTGACTATATGTATTAATTGCATTTAAAATCAAGTTAATGTGGATGTGAAAGTGAGGTAGCTATCAATATGTGACAAAGTAACCCTACTTATATAAGTTACATCATTGATTGTAGCATTCAGCAAAAGTTAGCGTACTTTTTAAAAAGCATCTTCTGTTGGTCTTATCAGCAAGTACATTTTTATGGTGCATTGAAGCACCACAGCAGACACGTTCCCGAATACAAAGGACCAATCCACCATTTCCATTTTCAAGTCATTTGGTGGAAGTTGGACGGGGTGTTAATTCAAGTTTTTCCCCCTTTCTGAGCAGCTTTAAATGAATTGCTTTTCTGGTACTTTGCTTATGTCCATGAAATAGTAATGTAGGGCTGTTATTAATGGTTGACTGGAAAAGGCTTATTCTTCCAATCCCTGTTTTTATTGGCTTTATGTTTTGTCATAACCTTTACTTTCCATCCTTAACATGGGCAAGGTAGCATTCTAAGAAATAAATGAGTTTAGTTATCAAGACTTCAGGAGAGAGCATCTCAGTTTCCCATGCATTCCCCGGTGTGAAGCATTCAAAACAGCAGCCATCTTCTCTTACATTTGTTGGCTGAGGGAGCTGGTGTTTGCTTCACAATGCTGTTAAAGTCTTTATTTCATATGATATGAAAGGCATCATTATGCCTCAAGATTGTCTCGAGCATTCTGTTGATAATCAGTGCTCTGGGCACTTGTGTATTTGGAAAGTGTTTACATGTGGGTTTACATAGGATGTGTGACTTCCCTGGAAAGTGTTGCTAGGGCTGGTGATGTTTGTAACTCTTTTTGGGAGTTCAGAGAACCCACAGATCATGACAAGAGTGAATTTGAATGCTGAACACTGTGGGGACAGGGGCTCTACTGCCTCCTGCTTGCTCTCCATGGGCCCCCTCATGGTTGGCACTCAGAATAATTTGTTAAATGGTTGAATAGATGAACAAATGAGTAAGTGTGTGGATGGAGTATTCAAGTGTTTAGGGGTAGATTGTGGAATTTAAACTACAGCTGAGAAGCATTACACAATATACATTTTTGTTTTCATTTTCCTAACTTCATTCTTTAATACTTAAAGATTTTGTTTGTCCTTGGCAATGAATACCAGTATCACATGGGCGTAGGAATAGCACTTAATAATGCAGCTGGGAATGCCCTGTAGGTCTGAGCAGACTGGAATTTCCAAGTCTTTGGAATTCTTTGATAAAATAACCAGGCATGACAAAGTTGAGAATCTTTTATAAGTTTTTTCCTCTTCAGATAACCTCACAGATCAAACTAAAAACAAAACACCATTCCACATAATGGAGCTAATTATGATAAGATTGGAAGTTTGTAATAATAAGATGCACCAAATAAAAAGGTAAGCTTAGAACTATCTGGTTTTACAAAGATTTTTGTCTTAGGAACTTAGATCCATTTTATAATATGTATAGCAAGCTTAAAAATGGAAACATCATTATCAGTTAGGAAAAGAAAAGTTTTCTTTTTCTTATATAGAGAAGCATTCTTCAGCTGGCATTTGAACTCCTAGGGCACAGAAAGGAGATGTTGTTGGCACAGCTCCTCTGAAAGGAAGATGTAAAGGAAAGTCAAGGCTTTTGTGTTCTAGGCAGAGCAGTGGACAGAATACTCATTTAGGTGTTGTCCACATATGGTAGCTGTGGTCACTGAAGTGCAGAAGCTCCTTGGTGAGGAGCTGCACACAACAGGTTGAAAGGGCAGAGCTCGGCTCAGAGCAGGAGGTACTGTGTACCGTGTGCCCCACTACCTCCTTGTACATAGGCGTTGCAGTGGAGGAGTTTGTCTTTTTTTTTTTTGAATCCTGATATTACTGCTCATTAATAATTCCTAAATTATTCTTTAAAGCATTTCAGTTTATAGGTAAATTGCTTTTTCTCACTCTTTTCAAAAAAGTCTTTATAAAAATCTGTCTCTCCATATTAATGTTTCAAAGTAGTTACAGGCTTAGTTTTACAAGAATCATTTAAATAAACTGTCGTTTCTGAAGTGATTGATAGAATGTGATTTCTGAAAGCTGCGATCTAAACGTGCTTTTGACATTTAAACATATAAACCTGACTAGGTGTAGCCATTCAGGTGCTAACTATATTTTATATCTACTTCTAACCATAGAAATGGAGGTATTAAGAGATCTGGCTTCATTGTCACTGAACTGTGAAATATTCAACCTTGTCTGCCTGTGCTTAGCACTGTTGACTTTTTTATTTCTGTTGGAAGATTAGAATTAAATGCTTCACTTTTTTTTTTGTCAGCTTTTGGGAATTACATTGAAATTTAACACTAAAATTTTCTACTGAGTACTTCAGTTTTAACAAAGTATTCATGGAGGTCCCTTACAGACACTACAAAAGGTTTATTGATCAAATATGACATTACAATTTTTTATTTGGACTATTTGCATATTTATTAAAGTTTACATATTTTATATTCTATCCAACAGCAAAAGGTAGTTCATCAAATGAGTATTAAACATATAAACAATGTGGAAACATATTGTTCTGATTTTAAACTGTAATTTTTATGTTTTTGGTTTATTAATTTGAAGTAATGATTAGAAACTTGAAAAGTGTATATACATATTTTCTATTTTAGGAGTGTTATTTCTCAATGTGGGTATACATACTTAAATATTAGTATATTTCAGTTAGTCGTCTTGTCCACTGCTGATAGTAATTTTACTAAGTTTGAAATAATTTTATTTTCTCAGTTTTGAGTGTAATCTTTATGCAGTGATTAAAGCATTTTATTATTTTTACTGTACCTTTTGTGTTGAAATATTCATAACGTCACTAATAACTAAAATGTCAATGCTTTTGATTTGTAGCATTATCATAGATTTTTGTTATAAAAATGATCATAAAAGCTCAATAATTTATCCATCATATATTCTTATATTAATAAAATATTAATATAGTGAGTCATTTGAAATCAAAGTGACAGAAAAAAATCAAATACTATTGTTGATGTGATTAAATTCAAATCTAGAAAAATATGGGAAACTGGATGGCCATGGAGAAATGTACTTACTCCGTGACAAACCTTTAGAGATATCAGTATTTTGTGTTTGTATTTTTACAATGTCTCATTTTACATAATGCCTTTAACAGATATTTCTGGAAATTGTAAGAAAAATATTTGAAATTATTTAGCTTATTTCCTATACTTACTGCTGCTCAACAGTGTGACTTTTGTCACACTGACAATGTGTGACAGTTGAGAAGCCTCACTAAAACATTAAAGCCTTCTAGATAGAATAATATTCAAGATAGATACAAATGAGTGTAAGCGTCCAATTTTGGGGACAAATTCTCAATTAGATCAAAGGTATGATTTAAGATTTAGCTCTTTTTTTTTTAAAAAAAAAAAACAACAAACCTAACAGCAATGTGTGATTTAAACCAAATCTTATTTTATGTTAAATTTACTCAGGGTCCAAACCATTTAAGTGCAAGATTTGCCATTTTGCGACAGCTCAGCTTGGGGATGCCAGAAACCATGTCAAAAGGCACCTTGGGATGAGGGAGTACAAGTGTCACGTCTGTGGGTGAGTAAGTCGATGCTGTCTCCATCGCGCAAACCAGGAGGCATGTACAGGGTATCCATTGTCGCAGAATGCAAAACTGATATGAGTAAGAGTGGCTAAAATTATGCATGCGTAGCCTCCTTTCCTTTGTTATGGTAAATTCCTTAAATACAGTTATGACATTCTTCTCCCACTTCTGAACCTGTTCTGAAGATGAGCAATTTTATGGGCTACAAGGTCAATTTGAACCTGTAATCTGTAAATTGACTAAATTATAGGATGTGCATTCACATTGCCAGGGAGAACTATAAATTCCATTTAAAGACATAAAAATATATAATATGGCTTTAGGAGTATATATGTATTTTTATTTTTGGTATGCTGCTTTAATTTAATAAAATTAATTACTCTTTGGGTCCATTGGACATAGTCCATAAGGCATAACCAAAGGATTTAATTTTGGATGGCTGGTTACTGATTATTTGAAAGATGATGTGATAAAAACAGTATATAATGTATTTTTTGTAACATTATTTTAAAACTATTTCCTTTTGAGTTAATGGTTCTTTGCAGAATCATTCACAATGTTTAATTGTCATTCGAATGTGTTATAGTTAATAGAAAGCTCTGAAGTGCTTTAATGTAAAACTAATTAATTTAGCAGAAATGTTTAAAAGGTTTTAAAATGCTATGACATATATGGTGTATCATAGGACATTCAGAGGTGGATTTTAATACCCTACTTTTGATTAAAATATATTTTAATGTTATTATGCTAGAGAAATTAATAAGTACATCATATAAAAACACTTTATGTGAAACTTAAGAAACCTGCAATTCCTCTGCTAATTCACAAGATACCACAGGTTCAATCCAATCATGCAATGCACAGATGTTACTATTATTTTTTGAGTAGAAGATAAGTACCATGTAACCATTCTTTATATAATATATGGGTTCTGCTTTTTGTTTGACAGTATATTTCATCCGAGGCTACAGTTTTCTTTTTTTGTCCTTTAAGATAGTTGTGCAGATGAATAACTTTGCAAGCAGTTTTATTAACCCGGTTCTGGAATTTACTCATTGGTAGAATTGGCTTGCAGTGACTTGCAGCTAAGGTAAATGAAGATGAACCTCTGCTCGGAAGCCCCCTGAAGAGCAGTGAGCAAATGAGTTTTGTTACTCCTGATTTTAGTTGCAGGGTCAGGCGTCAAATGGCTAATTTTAATTGCTATAGGTCTTGAAGTTTTAAAACCTATCTCATTCATTGTTTTTATTTGATGAGTTATGGGAGGGAAGATGACCCTTCTCCAATGAACATTGGCTGCGAGGTAGCAATAAACAATTTCTTTCCCATTTTTTTGAGAAATTAGTAAATGATTTTTTGTATATACTGTTAGGGAAAAAAGAAACTTTTTCAGAGAATAGTTTCTGACATATATTGTATCAGAAACAATTCATAGTTAATTAGCTTTAATTGTATAATTTGAACAATGCACTCTTTGCTTAGCTAATTGCTTGCTAAATACGACTGAAATGTTGCACTGGTAGTTTATATAGTTGATTACCAAGATACAGGATTATAAATAAATATGCCTTTATTATAGTTTTCTGTTGGTACCATAGGAAATTTTGGGTGTTAGTGTGTGTGTGTGTGTGTGTGTGTGTGTGTGTCTGTGTGTGTGTGTGTGTCTGTGTCTGTGCGTGCGCACGTGCGTGCGCCCATGTGTGTGTAGAACAAACATGGATTCCAGGATTATATCTTTTAGAATTATAGCAGACATTAAATTTCATGTGACTGTGAAATGATAATTTAATTTTGAAAGAGAAATGCAATTTAATTCTCAAATTATGTGACAATCATTTTAACAGGGTAGATGTTTTTTCAATGAAGTTCTGAGGAGTGGCAGTAAACTGAAAAATACCTCTTGGTTTCTGTTAAAAGAAAACAGACACAAATTAGGTACTGTGATATTAAACAAAACATATCTTAGGTTGCTCTTTGTTTCACAAGGTTAGATTAGTGTGTACCTTAAAAAATTAAAAGTGAGGAGAAGTGCAGAGATTGGTTTTTAGAGTAGTAAGACAAGAGAACATTGGGTACATTGACATTACTGACAATGTCAATTCATTGTCATTGATGGCTGCATAATCGCATACATGCTCAGTGGACCTATTAGTTCCTGAACATAAGCCGCTCATGCTGCATTTCTTCATTAGCTTTAATTACAATAAATTTTATTTTTTCTAAAATCATGTTTTAAAAGGAGAGGTGTTCTTTCAGGAACATTAAGTATAATTTTGTCACAAACAAGGTTCTGATGTATGTTTTCTTTTCTTCTAGAGTTAATCATAGCCTTAGTGGTCTAGAATTTTCTTATTGAGTTACAAGTGCTATTTCTCAAATAGTTCTAATTGAATAATATGTAAAAGTATCAAGTAAGACTCATTTTATAAGGGAATTTTTACAATATTGTACTCTTTTTCATAGTAACCTCTTGGTTTTCTTGAAGAAAAGAACCAACATTTAATAGGGAAATTGAGATGAGAATGACAAGTTATATATTTTGTTGAATGAAGCTTGGTGTGTTATATGTTCTGGTTATTTGTCACTGTTTCACATCTTTGTCTTTATGTAAGAAGGATGGTAGATGCTCATCGACTATTTTTGTTGAATGAAGCTTGGAGTGTTATATGTTCTGGTTATTTGTCACTGTTTCACATCTTTGTCTTTATGTAAGAAGGATGGTAGATGCTCATCGACTATTTTTGTCTTTCACTAAAGCTTAATTTTAAGAGTTGTATGGTAGCAACTCCCATATCAAAAACTTCTTTAAACTTGTTAGGTAACTTGTCTGGACTTTTGTTTAATTTCTTGGAATTGCCAAGATGATTAATAAGCTGGTTCCTCATCATCTCCAATTGGAAATCTTAGCTATAGTGTCTCATGGATTGATGTTTGTTTGATAGCACATGCTAAAGTCCAATTTTTTATTTTTTAAATTGGATGTGGGGCTTGAACTCTGGGCCTGGGCGCTGTCTCTGAGCTCTTCAGCTCAAGGCAAGCACTCTATTGCTTGAGTCAAAGCGTCACTTCCAGCCTTTTCTGTTTATGTGGTGCTGAGAAATCCAACCCAGGGCTTCATGCATGCAAGGCAAGCACTCTACCAGTAAGCCACCTTCCCAGCCCAAGTTAAGTCCTATTGTTGAGCATTCAGAATTTAGGATTAAAGTTCTATTTCAGCAAGGTTTATTTTTCTCATGTTATGGTAAAGATTTCAAACATGTTGCTTTGTATCTTATTTTACTTGATAGCATTTGAGACCTTTAATTTTAGATTTTGGGAGGAGCAGCTTCTTTTGGGTAGTAAAAGTGTGTGAGTGTGTGTGTGTGCATGTGTGTATTAACTGGGACTTGAACTCAAGATCGTACAATTCCACTCAGGTTTCTCAATAATCTTTTCTTGGTTCCAAATATGATCAAGAGAGGACTTTTTTAGAATATAGTGATGTTTATGTATAGGTACTTGGTAGTTAGTTAATGTGGAAATCTGCCAAACGATAAATAATGGAATATTTTCTTAGGCAAAAATTAATAATTTTATTTAATGCCTTTGTATTTCAAGGTATATAAAATATATTTTTATTAAATTTATGACCTCTACTTTCATTTTAAGTCAAGAACTTAAAAAAATCTCAATAATATGAAGTTATTCTAGTTATTCTATACACTGTGGTTTATAATTCTTTTAAATTTGTTTCAATTCTGTGTTTATATTATCGTGTACATCACTATCCCAATGATAGTATTTAAACAGTCCTCTTCAAATTCCTTGATTAATAGTCACATCATATGTTGGTATTGATAGTATTGTGCAATTGTTTGGCTTATGTTTGTTATCCATGTTTACAGATAGGAGATAAGATTGAAAGTGCTTTTCCTGATGTACTTAAGTTAGGCAGCTAGTAATGATGGATCACTACTATTCTTCCTTTTGATTTTTCATTTGGGTTTTAAGTTACTGACTTAGCTTAATTTGTCATTGTCTTTTTCTCTAGTATATAGTAAATGCAACTTACCTACTTCTTGGTAGCTCCCTTCTCTCTTTTTTCCCCTGAAATATGCCTTCTTTTAAAACTTTCAGATTCTCCTACTCACCAACTCTCATATCTTTATTCATTGTATTTTTCATACTTGCTAGTAATTTTCACTTAAAAAAAACACCTGTTATCTCTCTTCTGTCTTCACTGTTTTTAATGTATGGGTAATTTACTGCACCTACTCGATAGATTGAACATATCTGCATAAAACAAAAAAATAAGTACCTAAAAATGTGATGACTGTATCATCTTTTCAGTAGAAGTGAGAGGTAAAGATCAACCTGAGTTTTAGTGTTTCAGCACTGGGTAGCTTGAAAGAGTGACAGAATTTATAATCGGCATGTGATTTCCATAAGAAATGATACAGAAGTTAAGTACACCATTATTCAGAAGCACAGATCCCAGTATATGAGATTTAGGGATTATATTTTTACTGATGAATTTCTCTGTGACTAGTCTTGATTTGTATGTATAGAGTTAGAATAGTTAAGAGTAGGATTTACCTAATCAGTAGAAAATAAGGGCATTTTCTGTACCTCTGGGTTTATGAGAAGATTCCAGACATTTTAAAATCATGCATTTGTGTGCTTAGGAACTGTTTATTCCTAGTTTGTTTAAGAAACATTAAATAGAAAGTTACTAATGCAGTACAACTCTTTGTGTATGTGTGTGTGTATATGCGTGTGTGCGTGTGTGTGGCATCACCTAGTTTTTGTGCATTAAGAGGGATCTCTATGTAGATGATTATAATGTCACTTTCTGACCTTTGCAGCTTGAATAATTGTAAATCATTGCTTCATAACGTGTCAGAGAATGTCTGTACTAGGCAATTAAATGGCAGAATATAATAGACCAAATTATTGCCTGTCATGTTTTCAACAACACAGTTAGTATTTGAGTTACACTTAATCATTACGTGCA